AGACTGACCATGAGCCAGTTTCTAATTTTAATTATTTTATGAGCCATTATAACGTAACATTCGATACAGAATATTCAAAAACTGTGGCATATAATTGCCATATGGTTTGGGCGGTACGAAAACACCAAAAAAACAAACTTTTATTGGCTTTTTGACTGATTGAAACATTCACTCTCTAAATGAATCCCGTTAAGAGCAAAATATTTTTCTCCTTCTATAGGCGGACGAATTTTTCCTCGAATGGTATCACCCGTTTTTAAGTTAAATAGCTTGATCTGAGATGGAGACATATGCATCGTCCGGGCTTGCCAAGTAGTGGTAGTCAGATGAACGCAAAAATCCATACCCATCTTGCATGATCTCTAATACACCTTCTCCATCTATAGTAACATCTAGGTTACTTAATGAAACTTGCTCTTTCTTATTTTGTTATTATTAGTACTACAACTTTTTTCAGATGGCATGTAGGCTGCCTTTGGTTCTTTGACGATAGGCGGCGTGACTGGTATTGAACGACCTACTACAGCAACAGGCTTTTCTACCCCTTTAACAGGTTCTACAGTAGATTCCACCTTGTAACCTTCATTTTGAGGAATAGCATTAGACTCACTAGGTTTAATGGATATTTCTACTGATTTAGTTCTTGAATAATTTCTTTTGAATGAAGTACCTTCTTTGGGTTGCTGTATGGGAACATCAGTTTCACCATGTTTTTTCTGAACTAGTTCCCCTGCTGGAATTATAGCCTGTTGATCTAATATTTTGTAAATGAGCTCTTCTTTTAAAAGCGTTTTATAATTTTTAAACTTAAATGCTTCTGCTATCTCGCGTAATTCAGAAATAAGTTTCTGCTTGAGGTCTCCAATATTGTACATGATTATTGAATATGAATGTATAATATATATATGATATATATGTATGTAATTAAATGAAATACTTTATTAAACAGACTTTTCAATCATTTTCTAAAGTGAAATAGAAGCTTATTATGTGCATATTATGTGAATTGTGAATAAAGAACATCCTAGGATAAGAAATACTCTGATGATGTACCAAACTATATAACAATTATACAGAATAAGGTCAAACTCATAGAAATCATACCCTACATGTATTTACCTAGTCTGTTAAGAGGTACAATAATAATAAGGTTCAGATTATTTGCAATAAAAACCTGCTATTTTATAAAAAGTACTAAGATACTATAAATAATAGTTTGAAATACAACTATGCAACAGCTTTTATAAGAGTAAAGGTACAATCATAATTTTTAAAAATCAAAATTTTCATATTTTTTTATAAAAAAAGGCAGTGAATTCATGAAAAATTAGTAAATTGAAGCATAGTATGCATCACACCACAAATTAAAATAAAATGATTGACTTACAGCGTATTACATTAGATAAAGAAACGGTAATACAGCGCCTGTATACAAGGGGATTAACTGATGCAAAAGACCAAATTCAAGCTATATGGACATTGGACACGACAAAACTTTCCATGCAAGTACAATTAGAAACACTTGCTGCTAAACTAAATAAGCTGAATAAGGAAATAGGAGGAGCTCTACAGCAACAGGGAGAAACAGAAACACTCCTATCTAAAAAACAGGAGATTAATGGATTAAAAGTGGCGGCTAAGGATCTAGCACAAAAACTCAAAGAACAGGAAATGATTTTATTAGAAAAATTGTATCAACTGCCCAATCTACCAGATGAAAGCGTACCATTTGGTATACATGCTGGTGATAACCAAATACTTTACCAAACCCCTACCCTACCCACTATTGTACCAGATGGTTTAGCACACTGGGATCTAATTAAAAAATATGATTTGGTAAATTTTGAGCTTGGTAATAAAATCACAGGGGCTGGGTTTCCTATCTACAAGGGTAAAGGTGCTCGGTTGCAACGGGCTTTAATCAACTTTTTTTAGAAAAAGCAACAGAAGCAGGCTATATAGAAATTCAACCTCCTATTTTAGTCAATGAAACATCTGCCTATGCAACAGGGCAACTTCCTGATAAAGGACAAATGTATCATGTAACTAGAGAAGGGTTGTATCTTATTCCTACTGCAGAGTTGTATCTTATTCCTACATGAAAGGAGGAACGACCTCGAATCAAGTCATCTGGAACGGGTGGAAGCCGCTCACCTGTGGATGGAGCTCAGTTCTCTTGTGAAGCGTAGGTGATGAACCGTCTCCTTAAGTGCCCTGGCGTTCCTGTGATGGTGAACCATGCCGAGGGGTTGGGCCGCCTGCAGACGCCGACAACCAAATGCCGCAGACACGGCTCCTGGATCCACGCAGGAGAGTCCGCCCGTCACGTCTCCTTAAGTGCCCTGGCGTTCCTGTGATGGTGAACCATGCCGAGGGGTTGGGCCGCCTGCGGACGCCGACAACCAAATGCCGCAGACACGGCTCCTGGATCCACGCAGGAGAGTCCGCCCGTCAGTCCGTCTGGTGGTTCCGATGACGCAACCGGTCCATCTCCTCCGCATGGAACGTTTAAACGGAACGCCAGTGCACATTAGAGAGACGCCTCATCAGTCTATCGCAGCGCGATTTGAACCTCCAGAACGATAGCATGGAGGAATCTGGAGAGGTGGAGAAAAGAAGAAAATACAACATGAAAGGAGGAACGACCTCGAATCAAGTCATCGGGAACGGGTGGAAGCCGCTCACAAACGGAACGCCAGTGCATATTAGAGAGACGCCTCATCAGTCTATCGCAGCGGGATTTGAACCTCCAGAACGATGGCATGGAGGAATCTGGAGAGGTGGAGAAAAGAAGAAAATACAACATGAAATGAAAAACGACCTCGAATCAAGTCATCGGGAACGGGTGGAAGCCGCTCACCTGTGGATGGAGCTCGGTTCTCTTGCGAAGCATAGATGATGAAACGTTTCCTTAAGGGCCCTAGCGTTCCTGTGATGGGGAACCATGCCGAGGGCTTGGGCCGCCTGCGGACGCCGACAACCAAATGCCGCAGACACGGCTCCTGGATCCACGCAGGAGAGTCCGCCCGTCAGTCCGTCTGGTGGTTCCGATGACGAAAGCGGTCCATCACCTCCGCATGGAACGTTTAAACGGAACGCCAGTGCATATTAGAGAGACGCCTCATCAGTCTATCGCAGCGGGATTTCAACCTCCAAAATGATGGCATGGAGGAATCTGGAGAGGTGGAGAAAAGAAGAAAATACAACATGAAATGAAGCCGCAGACACGGCTCCTGGATCCACGCAGGAGAGTCCGCCCGTCAGTCCGTCTGGTGGTTCCGATGACGCAACCGGTCCATCTCCTCCGCATGGAACGTTTAAACGGAACGCCAGTGCACTTTAGAAAGACGCTTCATAAGTCTATCCCATGCGGGATTTCAACCTCCAGAACGATGGCATGGAGGAATCTGGAGAGGTGGAGAAAAGAAGAAAATACAACATAAAATGAGGAACAACCTCGAATCAAGTCATCGGAAACGGGTGGAAGCCTCTCACCTGTGGATGGAGCTCGGTTCTCTTGCGAAGCATAGGTGATGAAACGACTCTTTAAGTGCCCTGGCGTTCCTGCGATGGTGAACCATGCCGAGGGGTTGTGCCGCCTGCGGACGCCGACAACCAAATGCCGCAGACACGGCTCCTGGATCCACGCAGGAGAGTCCGCCCGTCAGTCCGTCTGGTGGTTCCGATGACGCAACCGGTCCATCTCCTCTGCATGGAACGTTTAAACGGAACACCAGTGCACATTAGAGAGTCGCCTCATCAGTCTATCGCAGCGGGATTTGAACCTCCAGAACGATGGCATGGAAGAATCTGGAGAGGTGGAGAAAAGAAGAAAATACAACATGAAATGAGGAACGACCTCGAATCAAGTCATCGGGAACGGGTGGAAGCCGCCCACCTGTGGATGGAGCTCGGTTCTCTTGCGAAGCATAGATGATGAAACGACTCTTTAAGTGCCCTGGCGTTCCTGTGATGGTGAAACAGCCCGAGGGGTTGGGGCGCCTGCGGACGCCGACAACCAAAGGCTGCAGACACGGCTCCTGGATCCACACAGGAGAGTCCGCCCGTCAGTCCGTCTGGTGGTTCCGATGACGCAACCGGTCCATCTCCTCCGCATGGAACGTTTAAACGGAACGCCAGTGCACATTAGAGAGACGCCTCATCAGTCTATCGCAGCGGGATTTGAACCTCCAGAACGATGGCATGGAGGAATCTGGAGAGGTGGAGAAAAGAAGAAAATACAACATGAAATGAGGAACGACCTCGAATCAAGTCATCGGGAACGGGTGGAAGCCGCTCACCTGTGGATGGAGCTCAGTTCTCTTGTGAAGCATAGATGATGAAACGTCTCCTTAAGTGCCCTGGCGTTCCTGTGATGGTGAACCATGCCGAGGGGTTGGGCCGCCTGCGGACGCCGACAACCAAATGCCGCAGACACGGCTCCTGGATCCACGCAGGTGAGTCCGCCCGTCAGTCCGTCTGGTGGTTCCGATGACGCAACCGGTCCATCTCCTCCGCATGGAACGTTTAAACGGAACGCCAGTGCACATTAGAGAGACGCCTCATCAGTCTATCGCAGCGGTATTTGAACCTCCAGAACGATGGCATGGAGGAATCTGGAGGGGTGGAGAAAAGAAGAAAATACAATATGAAATGAGGAACGACCTCGAATCAAGTCATCGAGAACGGATGGAAGCCGCTCACCTGTGGATGGAGCTCGGTTCTCTTGCGAAGCAGAGATGATGAAACGTCTCCTTAAGTGCCCTGGCGTTCCTGTGATGGTGAACAATGCCGAGGTGTTGGGCCGCCTGCGGACGCCGACAACCAAATGCCCCAGACACGGCTCCTGGATCCACGCAGGAGAGTCCGCCCGTCACTCCGTCTGGTGGTTCCGATGACGTAACCGGTGCATCTCCTCCGCATGGAACGTTTAAACCGAACGCCAGTGCACATTAGAGAGACGCCTCATCAGTCTATCGCAGCGGGATTTGAACCTCCAGATCTTATAAATTCCGTGAAAGAGGCTCCAGGAATTCCATCGACATATTGCCGGTAACCAATACTCGCTCCTTAAGAGCGAGTATTGGTTACCGGCAATATGCCGGCAACTTACCATAATCACCAAGTGCATGTTTCATTCATATTTTTCATCGATGAATTGTGGCAGAGTCATGTGGGGAGTGGAATCGCCAGGTCATTTTCTTTTCTTGATCAGCTGACCAAGCGGGGTTTTTTTGTTTCCCCCGAATATTAGTACAAAGAACGGAATTTTTTTCACATTCTTCCCTCGCCTTTTTTGAGAAAGTGCTAGGTCATGTAGGCTAGCATGAAGACTGGCACGTTTTATCCCACTATATCTCGTCGCATATTTCCTCATCGTTAATTATTGAATGCCAGTCTGACTCGCTCATTTATATTGTTTTATATAGGTAAGGAAGATGAAATTGATCACATGAATTGTCTTGGACGTAGCGTTTTTTTCACCAGACTAGACCCATGAACGGGCCTGTGTCGTTTGCCAATGTTAAGCCAATAAAAAAGAAGTAAATAACGATCATGACATTTGTGATTCGAAATACAAACACGAAAGTGCCATTCTAGCTTACCTTGCAATTCTGATCCTCCTTCTGTAACCCCTTTTATATATTATTAGGAGAACCTGTTGGTGAGAGTGTTCGATATTCTGGCACTTTGTTAATGTTGTGAGGGTGAGTCAGTTGAGTAATTTCCTAGAACGCAATTTTACCATTAAAGAGGCACCAGAAAAGAAATGCATACCTTTATTAAACTCTTAGTGCCATAGTGACATATTTCGGACCCTCCCTGGACAGTGCCCCGTGATCGCTGGGGGCATCCCTGGCGGACAAATCCTCCAGGGCATAGCTTTAGCAGCACCCCAGGGATGACGACACTTCCAGAACAACCAACGAGTTGAGTCCAGCTCCGGACAAATGTTACTGAGGACTTAGACTTGCTGGCAGTAAATACGACCCTCTCTTCTTCTACCATTGCAACAGTAATGCACCCGACCGCTTCAAACGGCGACGTACAAAGTGCAAGTGGCAGGTCAGTTATTACACAGTAAAACCTGTATCCTTAGAGGTACCTATAATATAACCCATTGTATGAGTATCAAATTGAGGGCTTCCTTCCCATAAAAAGACTCATAATGATACCCATAATGATCCCCATAATGCTATAGATACACACGACTTAAGTTGCGACTGATTTGATTCATATATACTAAGTATGAAACAGAGGTCATGTGGTGTAACAACAAGGTTGAGATGACTAAATTACAAAGGGTGGATAAAAACTGATGGACATGGAGAAAAAAGCAATAGAAAAGTAATTTATCAATTAACAGATTTTCCAAGTGCATGTTTCCTTTATATTTTTCGTCGATGAATTGTGGCAGAGTCATGTGGGGAGTGGAATCTCCACGTCATTTTCTCTTCTTGATCAGCTGACCAAGCGGGGCTTTTTGTTTCCCCCGAATATTAGTACAAAGAAGGGAATTTTTTTTTCACATTCCTCCCTCGCCTTTTTTGAGAAAGTGCTAGGTCATGTAGGCTAGCCTGAAGACTGGCACGTTTTATCCCACTATCTCTCGTCGCACATTTCCTCATCGTTAATTATTGAATGCCCCTCTGATTGATTCTCGCTCATTTATATTGTTTCATATAGGTAAGGAAGATGAAATTCATCACATGAATTGTCTTGAACGTATTGATTTCTGAGAAATCCGACATTGGCCTCAGACGCGTGTTTTTTTTTAGATTACAGCACATTCACTAAATATCTTTTAGATATACCTCACTCCTCCTACTCCCTTGTTTTAAGATGGTTGGAATTGCAAGGTATTCGATATTTGGAGTTTTCTGCTCGTATTTCGCATGATAGGTGTCCTGTTATTTTGTTCCCATTGTCAATGACCATTTAGTAATTTTATCGCATTCCCCGTTTAAGTTTCATTAATAACTGCCTGGGTGATGTTTTGACGTTTCAAGTTTGATGCGGTGATGTCAATTGGTATTTCGGCCATGCATCCCACGTCAAGGTCGTGCTTTTCAAATCCATATCCATTTCATATATCCACTCCTTAAGAGGGTTTCATATGATGATAAACCTACCCCTCATTAAGATAGTTCTTAATTTTGGACGCACATTTACCTCATACCCAGTCACTTACATGAACAATGCCTATTTTCTTCTTTCGTTCCTAAAAGTATTTACATTTTAAAGCTAGTCACGGTAGGGGTAGCCAATGCACGCGTTCAATACGTCACAAGTTGAGATGTTCTGTCGCAATGTATGCCTTATCTGAGCTTCTAGTAATTTCAGTTGCTTCCCTCTCGTTCATCTGCCTTCTGACACTTTGACCCTTGCAAGTATTAATACTAGTAACTTTTGACTTGTGGAACTTATANACGTTACTAACCCGCAATAGGCAGTTGCAATAGGGATGCCTCTGACGAGAAATTTAGGCCCAACATCTGTAGAGCGGATGAGCAGTGAGCACACGGATGCCTCTTAATGAGATTAATAGTGCATCTTAATAATGCATGAGAGCATTCTTTTGAAGGTATTGACGAGACGTCGGCCATAAATCTCATTCACGTAGGCATTTCACTTCTCAATTTCCTTTTGTCTGCACGTTTCTTTGCCCTCGGGGTGTGACGCAGCGAAGTAGTCTCCTTGTTCCTCCATCTGAACGCGGAGAAGGCGGAACGGAGACGCAACGGTTACTCATTCCCCTCTCAACTATCCTCACTTCCTTCATTCGCCCCTGAGCGGTTCATCGGGCATGCAGGTTGTGTCAATTACAGGTTTGTCAAAGAATCTCCTTGAAAATGTATATTGGAGAAGACTTTTCAGCGTGGAGATGTGCTTGGAACTGGAAACTAGCGAACTTCATTCCGATCTATAAGAAGGGAGAAAGGAGCAATCCTGTTAATTACAGACCGATTGGTCTCACGAGTATTACGGAAATGATCACGGAGAGCATCCTAAGGGATCGTATCTTAGATTTCCAAGAGGGGGAATGCGCTCATCCGGGACTCTCGACCTCGGCACGGGATGTCGTAATGGGTGGATACGCCTCTTGATGCCCCTCAAACTTTGATGTTTGATAACACCCCTAAGGGCAAGAGTCATTTTCCTAAAGCGCTCTAAGGCCGAGTTCATACTCGTGCTATACAGCTGCTGGAAGCTATGTGCAGCACAAGGCTGCAGTACGTAAACGGACAGCAATACAGCATGTTGCTATCAGCAGATGCCGCAATTCCGCCAGGTCCACGTTAGTGCCGTAACCTCATGGCGTACTGCAAAACCATATCCAGCTCGCATCGCAAATAGACTGCAATCCTGGTACGCAGCAAGGAAACTGCTGCACAGCAGCTGGATGCAGCATACCGCCCAGCAAATAGAATGTGGTGTACTGCATGCCGAATTGAATAGAAATCATTCCTATTTTTTGAACCTGCTGGATGAAGCAATTTTTTATTTTCATCCTACAAAATTTGCGTAAGTGGGCTGGTCAAAGAGTTCCCAGAAAAAGTGACTTCATTTCGTCAGATCCCCATGATTTTTCCACTGTGTATTCTTATGTATCTTAGTAGTACTTCAAAGATCCCTTTCAGATTATCTAGTTTTCTAACCATACCGCTTTTCGCGCCGAATACGGTCATCCGAGAATTTATTAATGAAACATGAAGCGCGTACTCGATAAAAGGACTTCAATGGTTTGGCGGCATTGGGGACAAAATTAACGATGAGGACATGTGCTGATAACTTGCATGAGATGTGCCAGTCTTGAAACTTGCGTACTTCACAACTCCCTTTTCTCTAAAGAGGAGGGGGCTTAGACCATTCCGTCTTTGTCCTCTTTTTTGAGGGGGGTGTACAGAAAGGAATTGAAAAACAAATATGCTTGATCAGCAGATCTACTTGACAACGTATCATGGAAGATTATACTTGTCACATGACTGTCACACATGACATGTCCCTGTCGTACTTGCATGACTTGCATGACTGTCACAATTCATCAGCGATCAATCGCAAGGAATCGGAAAGATGCATTGCCCCGGAAAACATACAGGAATTCCAAATAATTTTTCTCCTTGTCATCTCCTTGTCATGTGGGGAGTGGAATCGCCACGTCATTTTCTCTTCTTGATCTGCTCACCAAGCGGGGTTTTTTTGTTTCCCCCGAATATTAGTACAAAGAAGGGAATTTTCTATTCACATTCCTCCCTCGCCTTTTTTGAGAAAGTGCTAGGTCATGTAGGGTAGCCTGAAGACTGTCACGTTTCATCCCACTATCTTTCGTCGCACATTTCCTCATCGTTAATTATTGAATGCCTCAGTGACTGATTCTCGCTCATTTATATTGTTTCATATAGGTAATAAAGATGAAGTTCATCACATGAATTGTCTTGAACGTACTGATTTCTGAGAATTCCGACATTGGCCTCAGACGCGTGTCTTTTTTTTTAGATTACAGCACATTCACTAAATATCTTTTAGACATACCTCACTCCTCCTACTCCCTTGTTTTAAGATGGTTGGAATTGCAAGGTATTCGATATTTGGACTTTTCTGTTCGTTTTTCGCATGATAGGTGTCCTGTTATTTTGTTCCCATTGTCAATGACCATTTAGTAATTTTATCGCATTCCCCGTTTAAGTCCTGGGTGATGTTTTGACGTTTCAAGTTTGATGCGGTGATGTCAATTGGTATTTCTGCCATGCATCCCACGTCAAGGTCGTGCTTTTCAAATCCATATCCGTTTCATATATCCACTCCTTAAGAGGGTTTGATATGATGATAAACCTACCCCTCATAAAGATAGTTCTTAATTTTGGGAGCACATTTACCTCATACCCAGTCACTTACATGAACAATGCCTATTTTCTTCTTTCGTTCCTAAAGGTATTTACATTTTAAAGCTAGTCACGGTAGGGGTAGCCAATGCACGCGTTCAATACCTCACAAGTTAAGATGTTCTGTCGCAATGTATGCCTTATCTGAGCTTCTAGTAATTTCAGTTGCTTCCCTCTCGTTCATCTGCCTTCTGACACTTTGACCCTTGCAAGTATTAATACTAGTAACTTTTGACTTGTGGAACTTATAAATTCCATGAAAGAGGCTCCAGGAATTCCATCGACATATTGCCGGTAACCAATACTCGCTCCTCTCTTCCAAAAAAACCCCTTACTCGTCCTAAACTTGATCCTGTGAGCCTCCAATTTATCCTGCAATTACTTTTTGAGGAACGGTACCGATGTTACTATTGCACTTCATGTTAAAGAACCCACAATGAAGGAACACAATGAGCAGCAATTGGTACAATTGATGTGACTTACAGGAACAATCTGGATAGGAGAAATGTTGGGGACACGGTCATCGTGTGGTAGAGGTCGTAGGTGAGTGGGCAATGCAAAGTGATTGGACCAGCCGGACGATGCGTCCGGGGTGGAACTACTACCTCCTTCACCAAAGACATCCCGGAAAACCCCTGAACCACTCCCCAATATGGACAGCCTTTCCGCTGCGTCATCGGCTAGGAGGAGGTCTTATGAAAACTTACAACTGCTCTCAATAAAGGCATCCCCAACTCACATCACACAGAAGGCAATAGATATGGGAATGGATCATTTTTAAGTTCTCCCCACTTTTGCGAAACTAAGTATACAAAATGCTAGTGTATATAGGTCGCGTTTCGTTGTTACGGAATTGGATAGCCTAGCAAGTTATATACAGTACAGTATCTCTCGAAAGCTGATGGTTAGTTGGAATGTAATGGACACGGAATGAATAATGCAGGGAAAGCTGAGTCGGTGATGAGTTGAGGAAGAGTATGGCAGGTCATGTGGCCTATATAGCCTGTACTTCACTTCTTCATCTGTCCCGCTTCTAATAAACCAAATTGCACAAGGAAGGATCATTCATCCTAAATCCAACCTTCTCCATTCATTCCGTTTCCCTTCACTTTCGGGTTTAACCCC